AGATTATATACATTAAAGTTATACATACTCATAGAATTTCTGAGAACTCATTAGTACATGTAAATGTCTGATCCACATGCGCAGTCTACTTCTTTTGGTGGTCTTTTGGGGTCCTCTGGTGGTCTTTGATAGTCTTCATCACTTGTCTGCTAGTTGACCTTTTCCTTGGAATCTGCGCAGTGGCACATTTTACATGTTTGGATAGCTTAACCTAAAGAATGTTCGTGGGCTACTCTACTATCTACTCTTCCTTGATTAACATACTTTTGATGCAAACCATACTGACAAACCAAGCTAATTTATCTGAAAAAGGGCTAAAGGTCATTATCTTCTCAGGAAACAGAAGGAGTCATAACCTTTATTTACAACATCTCCTTGTCCTTGGAGCTTTAACCCTTTCAGTTAGTCAGATTCAGTTATTGGGTAGGTAGTTATGGCACAATTTGCAGAGATTAAGGTAAAAAATGAGAAACCTCAGGAGAAACACTACTTACTGGTAGGAAAAGACTTGTCATTTCTTGAGGGTACACAGTTGAAGACAGATACTTCCGCAGTCTTTACTTTTTCCTTTGGGTAAAGCAGTGCCCAGTTTGTGTATCTCAGCAGTATTCAGTTAGAGCTGTCACTCAGTGCTGCCCAGAGAGATAATCAGTGTTTACAACTTGAGTAGTGCAGCGTTCTGGTAATGGCTTGACCTGCTGTCTTCTAAAGGCTAAACATTTCTGTTTCTCTGTTGATTTAACTAACTTGGCAATAGCTATGAAAAGCCAGAATATCACAGCTGCTGCTTGGATGATAAAGTAGTGACATGCCCTGGCTTATTTTGTCTGGTTTACCTGAAGTCTGATGCATGTTCATTTGCAGTGTATGTAAAACTTTCAGTGCTTGTGGAACACATGCATGGTTCAGTGCTTTTAAAAAGACTAAAGCTGATTATTTTATGTGATTTCTAAATGGTGAACAAAACTTTTATCAACATTAATAGTGATTCACAGTACAGAAAATGGATATTCATTTATGAATCATTTACCTACGTATGCAGTTGTTAGTCAATATCAAGAAATGCTACTGATAGGAAGACTTTTAAATCTTGAGTTTTGCACAGTTTGCCATACTAGTGGCAGTGAGAAAACAGCATGTCTATCAAGCTGCTTTACAAACCTGCTCCTGGATAGGACTGTTGGTCGTAGTGCAGCAAAACAAAGCCTGAAAGCTGCTTCCACATCACTTTAATTCTTTATAAGGCTTCCTAACAGGATACATCAATCTACATTTGTCCCTGCTGTTTAGCAGTTTTCAAAGGTGCTCCTTAGGTGTACAACTCTTTCGGAATCATAGAATCATTTAGGTTGGAAAAGACCCTTAAGAGCAAGTTCAACCATATCCTCTGTTTGAAAATCCTCTGTTTTGTCTGTTTTTAAAAACTGTGTAGAAATTGAATAATTAAACCAAGCTTTGCCAAATTAGGTTACCAATGGCAAAACATGACATGTTTAACTTTGCAAGTAAGAGAAGTTACATTGCATTATACTAACACAAGTATACTACAGAGTACCTCAAATTGTTTCTAAGGTACTAATTTGCTTCAACCTTTTTCTGAAAGGATTTTCACTGATGATACATGGATTGCTTTGCCTCTCTTATCTGTTCTGATTTAGATGGAGCATGCCAGATTACTTTGGGCCACTGAATCATGGGCTACATTTGAGCAAAAATTGAGAGACAATACTGCATCATGGTTTGGATTTCCTGAACAGTTAGATCTTAGAATACTTTTGGTGTAAACAACACAAGTTGGGGAGGGAAGGATCTCGGCTTCCCAGAAGAGAGGGGCCCAGCTCCAGCTATCTGCTTATCCTTTAAATAGTCCTACCTATGATGATCAGTTGTAATAATTTCAATTGTAAGTACCAAAAATTCTTCAGAGTTGGAACTTCTCTAAGTGATAAGGATTTACAAAATCAGTTCTCAGATTGTGGTAAATTCTCTTACGCAGATGTAAATCTCAGTAAATGTGGTAGGCCTTTAATGTGATGAGGCAACATGTCAGGTTTTACTACTGCAACGTACGTGGATGGTGTATCTTTGTAATTTTGTTTTAGTAATTTTTCTTAGAAATCACTTAAAGGCGACTACAAATAGCTGGTATTGTAGCTGCCCTTCCTGGAGCCAGTTTTGGCTGCATTTTACAAATGAGTCTCTGAACCTTGCTTCTTAGTGCATGTATATATACAAGCTAATGTATGAGTTTGCATGTTAGTAATTAAAGTAATTCAAGGATCTATTCATGTGCTGCTGTTTCAATGAATCAGAAATTAGAATGAAGGCTGCCATTGGATGATATTGAAATCTATAGGGAGGTATGCTACTAGCTTGCCTGATTATTGGATGTAGGTATCTTTACCAGATAATTTAATTTTTTTAGTTAAGTTTCATAAGGCTATATCTGGATAGGAAGATATTTATGGGAATACTGACTTGGATGGCTTTTTTTATTAGTTATATTGTTTTCATTTGGGACTGTATTTCACAGCTCTTTCATTTGGTGGGGATTCTGACTTTCCATGTGGAATATCTTGGTTTAGGTTGTAATCTGTTGTCTTACTACTGAAATCCAAAAAAACCACAAACCTCTCAAACCTCAAAGAGTTTGGGATTTCTTCTAAATGTATTCTTCTGCTTTCCATCTGCTTCTGGGTTTAACTGGCTTCTATTGTATTTATCTTTGCAAGTGTGTCTGTCTTACTGCTTTTTCTTCTCTAGTCTGTTTGTGGGAAGAAGTTCAGAAAAGTCTTTGTTTCTTTCCATTTTACCATTCTAAAGCCCAGTCTGATGACTGGTACATTTATGAAAGGTAATGTCAGGACAGGTGTAGCACACTAGTGCAAGTGTTTGTTATAGATCCCAGTAAGAAAGGCACTTGGACTCTTAACGTATTGATTAAAATAATGTTTATTGCATATAACCAGAGAAGGAAAAAAGGGGATAGCATAGATAACTTTACATCTGTTCAGCTGCTGGAACCCTGAGTTGTACAGCACTGGACAGACGTCTAGGCATGGCAAGCTGTGCAAATCCTGTCTGTAGTGAGGATCACCAGTGTTGTAGTCTTTAGAGCTTTTATAGGATGTTCTTGGAAGTAAACAGCTCTGTTTATCATTTCCAAGCAAAAGGATGTTATATGAAAAGCTGCTGCTTCACTTCAAGATATAATGAGACATAGAATCATAGAATAGTTTGGGTTGGAAGGGGCCTTTAAAGGTCACCTAGTCCAATCCCCCCCCCCGCCCCCGCAATGAGCAGGGACATCTTCAACTAGATCAGGTTGCTCAGAGCCCCGTCCAACCAGGCCTTGAATGCTTCCAGGGATGGAACATCTACCACCTCTCTGGGCAATCTGTTCCAGTGTTTCACCACCCTCATCATAAAAAATTTCTTTCTTATCTCTAGTCTGAATCTAAGCTCTTTTAGTTTAAAACCATTCTCCCTGTCCTGTCGCTACAGGCCGTACTGAAAAGTCTGTCCCCATCTTTCTTATAAGCCCCCTTTAAGTATTGAAAGGCTGCAATAAGGTCTCCTTGGAGCCTTCTCTTCTCCAGGTGAATTACTCTACATGCAAGTGGTGTAATCGCCAGGTGCCAAGTGGGAGCTGCATATTCTGTCAAAATTAGTCTGCTGAGTTCATCCAGTGGTCTCGGGTGATAAGTACAGTAGAGTGCAGGCCTGCACCTATTCAGGTCAACTGGTATGCTGATCACTAACTCCTTGATGTACAATAGTCTTCTGTTTAAGATCACTGCAGCAGGAACGAAAATCAGTATCACTGGTTTCAGATCAACCTACTAATTATGCTGGTCAAATCAGTTCCAACTTACTTTTGATGTAATTCCATTTTTTTGAGTTGATTTATTTATTTTCACTGAATAAGATAACCTGAAACTGAAATGAGTGTCTACAAAAAAGACTTCCAGTAAACCTGCAGTCTGGAATTGAACAGACTCTGGCAGCTTGGGCTGTAGTCTGCTTTTGTTTCGTGCTTGGTCAAAGACTAAGACTGAACTGAAATATTTTTATTCCATTACTGATGCAGCTATTGCATTCCTTCTCAGTCTAGTGCCTTTCACGCATTTCTCTTGGTTTACCTACCTGTCTTCTGGTTTCCTGTTCATTCTTTCAGAAAGCGGAGTGCACTCTTGTTGCAGAGGAATGGAATGCACTTCACTCAAAAGAGAAGCAGCAATATATTTTATTGAGATAAAATAATAATTTGACAGAGTTCAATAAGTTGGATGGAATTCAACAAAGTTTAACAGTGCTTTGACATGGTTCAATAAGTTTGATGGCAAGGTTCACCTTATTAATTAACTACTACATGGAAGAAACATAGAAAGGAAAATTGAGTTTGAGTTAAAATGATTCACACAGACTGGAGATGCAAAGAGTAAGGAGGACCCTCCTATTGAGTCACAAGGCTCAGAGTGGATCCCCTTGCTTTTCAGCATGCTATCACTCACCAAGGATCTGTTGCAGGTAAGGGATCTCTTTGCCTTAGGTAAGGAAGAATCTCAGTCTCAGGTAAGGAATCTCTAACCTTGAGAGGCATCCCTGCTCAAGGGGAGAGTTACCTGGCATGCAGTCCAGCTGCAATTCAGGGAGAGCTCAAATTGGGCCCATCCTGCTGGTAATATTTATAGGGTGAAGTAGTTGGCTGCTAGTCAATAGTATAGACGACACATATGTCTTCATTTTAGCTCTGGTATCTTGTTTTGTATTTTGGTTATCTTGCACTTTTGGGTTTCAAAACCTCCTTTTGAAATATTTTTCAAGACGCCTTCACTCCCTTGTATGTGAGCCAGGGGCTTTCTAGCTCACAAGTTCACCCCAAGGACATGAGGCCTGTTGCTACTTAGCCTGAACCAAAGTACAGCTAGGAGTCAAGTGTATCTGTCACAGCTCTCAGCTTCAATGGGAATTCATTGTTGTATATTCTGTACCATCTCTATGCTTAAAGTCAAGTACATGACTGTTACACAACTCCTCAGTTTTAAAAACTTTAAGATTTTTACATTTCTTAACTTTTCTGACATAATCCTTTGTTCTTTGCAGAAAAGGTACAGTTTGGCTGTTGGTCCTCCCAAAAAGGTTCCAAAAGTCAAGGGTGTAGAGTCTGCAGCAGTGCAAGCATTTCTCAGACGGCAAGAAGAAGAAAAAAGAAAAAAAGGTAACAGTCCAAAATATTTCCTATGGGAGACTTTCATTGACTCTTTGAGACTTTGTCATCCTATTCAAAGCTCTTGCAAATACAGCTGTTGTCTGAAAAGCAGGTTTGTCACCCAGTGTGCAATAAGCCAATAGTCACACACTCAGGAGAGACATTATTTCATATTTGCACAAAGATGGGTGCTAGGTGGTAATCCCACAAAGCTAGCACACCCTGCAGTTAAGCAAGTAACTTATACAGTTTTAGATTCACCCACTTAGTTACTAAAGTCCTTCCCCAAAATAATTGTTGATAGTTGCTTATCTGTCACCATTTCTATTGGGCTAAGGTTTTCCCTGCTTGGAATTCAAGGTACAAGGTACAGTGTTCTTTTATTCTGCAGTGCATGCTCGAGGAGGGAGGGGTAGGTCTTTTTGGTCTTGAATTGAGTTGGTGGTCACAATCTCCCCCTGCTGCCTTTGCCTTTCCCCCAGTTACTGCAGATGTCCACTGACTTCATGCCCATTATCAATTACTCAACTGTCAGTGCCTTCTAGGGTGGGATGTTTCCTTCTTCTTGGTCTTTTAATTCTTCTTTGAGATTGTTCAAGGCCAAATTACTCCAGGATGCCCTTGGTTAAAGAATGCTAGCTGTTCTCGTTTCTGATTACAAATGATTAAGTGTCTTTAGACTGTCAGCTTAATATACATACAAAGAACATCTTGCATAGAAAGACACAGATCACTTCATATTTTAGGTTAATCTTCAACACAGCTACACATCTGTTTCTGGAATTTATGCGCATAACTGATGCTGAGGGAAAGCCAGAACTAAGTAAAGACTAGGGATGTTTGCATGCATTCTTAAGGAGTTAAATATTAATCAGCTACACTAGCATTTGCTGTTGGAGATCGGGAAGTAGTTAAGGTGAAGAGATATTGCAAGAAACCATCTGGACTTCTTGGCAACTTTGAAAAGCTTTATCTGTGTGAAAAAATGGTAAAAGTTCCTGTTGTGTCTTAATCTAGTGTATTGATACAGTCTGAATTTTAAATTTATATGGCAGAGGCTTTGAGCCACAGGTTTTTCACTGTATTATATTTCATTTAAGTAGCCTATAGAATGAACTAATGCTGCATTGCTTTTGATGTTAATGTTTTGCTAAAGGTGGATGGCCCAGGCATTCTTCCTCTCCCGGGCCAGTCATGAGCCTGCTCCTTATCCCTGCTGGCAGGTCCAGCCAGAAGCAAGACTGAGCATGAATTCCACATAGGCATGCATGCACACTCACTCTGTACAGTCATGGCCCTTCACAATAACATAGACAGGGCATGGTACCTTTACAGGCACCCAAAGCATGAGTAGCCCAATCTATTTTCTAGGAATTGATGCTTTTCCTGAGTCTTTCTGGTATTTGGCCCCCACTCCCTTGGTCTGTCCGCTATCTGGTGTTCAGACCTCTCATCCTATTCACCAGCTAGTTCAGCCTGAATTTTGTCAGCAGATCACACACAGACTCAAGGTGGATAGCATACTTATGCAGAAAATAGCTAAAAACAGTTCAGTAAGAATATAGGACAGACTGTGGAGATAGGGCACAGGGCTCTACCAGACAAATGTAGTGACCAGCAGCTTAGTTATCTGTGGCTGGCTGCTTCTGTCTCTCCTCTATACTCCTCTACACAAAATACTCAATACTCTTTGATTCCCTCCCTTTCCTCATCTTCCTTTAAACATCTGCTAGTAAATTCTGTACAGCCTCAAAACTCTCCTGCTCTGTCTCAGAACTCCTTCTATTACCCAGAGATCCTGTAAGTCCTGTACCTCCTCACACAGTAATTCTCCTTAGTTTGCATAGCATTCTGGAGAGCTGCTTCGGTTGAATCACCTTAGTGGGTTTTGCAATAGCAGCATTTAACTTAATTGTTTGCCTTTGTTTGTCAGAGAAGCTGATTCAGGTGGGTTAGCTTGCCCTGTTGGCAGACCTCTGATCACTTTCTGGTCTATTTTGAGTAGCTGTTAGCCAGATATCCTTAAATTACTGTCCTAAATGGTTTATCAGTTTGGAAGAAATTGAAATAAAAGGTAGTGCTTTTGCATAACTTTCTCCTGGCTTTCTTTTGTAGCACTGGAAGAAAGAAGAAAGAAGGAAGAACTCTTGGCTAGACGTATTGAACTGAAACATGACAGAAAGGCAAGAGCTATGGCCTCACGAACAAAGGATAATTTTTATGGCTATAATGGCATTCCTGTTGAAGAGAAGCCTAAAAAGAGGAGGACTTGTGAGAATGTCGCTCAGGCCCCAGAGGCTGAGCATGCAACAGAAGATGAAACTGAGCAACTTGAATACAGTCAGACTGAATCTGAGCATGAGCAAGAAGAATATGAAGAGAAACCATCCAAAGTTGCAGTGAAACCAAAGGCGCCTCCTAAGAGTGCACCAGCACCTCTGAACTTTGCAGAGCTCTTAAGACTTGCAGAAAAAAAACAGTATGAACCCGTGGAAATAAAACCGGTGAAAAAGGTAGAAGAGAGACCCAGAACAGCAGAAGAATTGAGAGAGAGGGAGTATTTGGGACGCAAAAACAAAAGAGTAGAAATGCATAAGAAAAGTGAGAAGGAGATTAAGAGTACAGGGATATCCAGTTCTTCAACAAAAATGACTTCTCGGAAAGAATCCGTAAATGCAAAACTTAACAAAAGCTTAGTAGATAAACATTCCACACCAAAAGGCAGTCTGTCGTCTTCTATGAGTGGTATTGGTAAGAAATCCAAAGCACCAGCATTGACTGAAAAACACTCACGGTCATCATCTTCCTCCAGATTTGATCAAATGGAAAAAACCTCACAAAATGGCTCCTTAAAAAGCTCTACTGGTAGCAGTCATAGTAAATTACCTGTCAATGGTATTGGAAAGGCTGGCTCAAGCTCTCACGTGCCACCCTCAAAACCAGCAGCTAATGGGGCTCAGAGGCTACCATCTGCTAAAGAATCCAGCCTGAAAAAGTCTGCCCTTACAAAATCAGGAAATGCTGCAGCCCTTCAGCATGGAATCAACTCCAATGCAAAACGATCGGGCAGCAGCTTAGGAAAAGGAGGACCTGGACATCCAGGTGGTGGTTCAAGTGCAGGACCTGGGCGATCAAGCAGCAATTCTGGTGTGGGACTTGGAAGGCCAGGAAGTGGTTCAAGCCCTGGACCTGGGCGACTGGGCAGTGGCTCAGCTGCAGGACCTGGAAGGCCAGGCAGTAGCTCAAGCCCAGGACCTGGGCGACTGGGTGGTGGCTCAAGCGTGGGACCTGGAAGGCCAGCTGGCACCTCAAGCACAGGACCTGGGCGACCAGGCAGCAGCTCAAACATGGGACTCGGGCGACCAGGCAGCAGCTTAGGCACTGGACCAGGAAGGCCGGGCATCAGCACAAATGCAGGACGTGGGCGACCAGGCAGCAGCATGGGTACAGGACCAGGAAGGCCAGGCATCAGCCCAAGCACTGGACCTGGACGACCAGGCAGCAGCCTGGGAACAGGACCAGGAAGGCCAGGAGTCAACCTGAGCACAGGAGCCAAGCGACCAGGCAGCAGCTTGGGAACAGGACCAGGAAGGCCAGGAGTCAGCCCGAGCACAGGAGCCAAGCGACCAGGCAGCAGCCTGGGAACAGGACCAGGAAGGCCAGGCATCGGCCCAAGTGCAGGACCTGGGCGACCAGGCAGTGGCTTGGGTGCAACTGTAAAACCGAAGTGTACTGTTGTATCGGAAACTATTTCTTCTAAAAACCTAGTCACAAGACCTAGCAATGGACAGATAAATGGAATGAGGTCTTTTCAAGGGCATAGACCTGTGTTTCATCCACAAGGTATAAAGTTCTAGAGCAAATAATTTTTTCACTTAGTTATTTGTTTTGTATTTTTTATATATGTCTGAGTTGAGGCCACTGAGGGTCTTTGACAATTGTAGATACAGTTAGGAAGACTTGGACAAAATACCGTATTTGCCTTTTAAAGAGTGCATTTAACAGTAGAAGGGGGTTTTTTTCTGCTTTGCAACTTTTTTTTTTGTTTTACCTATGCTCACATTCCTTGAAATACAGGATTCACATGCCTGGGGTGTGACGTATTACATGAAAGAAAACTAAGCAGCCTGTGATGGGTGTTGGTAGACAAATGCTGTCAGAAGGAAAAGAATTGAAGGATTCGCTTCCTGCATTGCTTAATTATGCTTAGTCTTTAAAATTTTGAGTGGCTTAAATAACAGATGCTTAAAGTGGTACATGAAAATTAAAACCACACAGCAAACCTGTGACTGATATTTAAATGTTTTGGCAAATTCATCTTATCAGTAAGCAAGCAGTTCTAAAAATGTATTTCTGAACAGGAACAAGCAGCATAGACTCTAGCAAATAAGTGCCTAGAAAACCTTGAACAAGAACATGGACTTCTGTCTGGTAGTTTCCTCAGGATGCCATTGGTGATACTGATATGTAATCTTCTGTAGCACTACTTAGAGGAAGTATTTCTTTTTACTGAGTTTCTGAGAATTGCTAGTTAACTTGAGGCAGAAGTTTTCCACCTTGAAGGCCAGAGCTATAAAATAAATGTGCCCAAGATATAGCAAGGAGAAGTACTGTTAAATTAATGTTATATTAATGATGTTTGGGTTTTTTTTTCACTTCCCCTGTCACTTAGGTCTTGGAAGACCACCTATTAGTTACAAGAGACAAATAGAAGATGATGATGATGATGATGAATATGACTCTGAAATGGATGACTTCATTGAAGATGAAGGGGAACCCCAAGAAGAAATATCAAAACATATTCGGGAAATATTTGGCTATGACCGGAAAAGGTAAGAAAAATAGTTTTAAGATATTGCAGAACAAGCAACAGAACAACAGAAATTAATATGGTTCAACAGGTAAAAATGTTCTAGAAATAGGGGAATTGCTGCTATCCAAAAATGGTTTTGTATTCCAGAAATTTAACAAGCATTAGAGCTGCTTCTGTGCAGAAGGGACCTTGAATTTTCACACTGCCTGCCATGCTCTTCTGGGAAGCAATAACATTTGATGCAATAGGACATAGTTGGAAAATAACACAGCTTCTTCCATGTCTTTCCTATATAGTTCATAGCAATTCTTCCCTATTATTGGATGTTAAAATGCTTTCTATAGCAGTCTGTATTATTTCAGAATTAATCAAATGTAGCTGCCTGAATATGAACTGCTAAATGCAATGGTTTTAGCTGTTCTGTAAGAGGATCTAACTTCGTATGACTAGGAACTGCTGGAAAATGAAGGCTCTTATTTGGCTTATTTAAATACTTCAGTCTTGTCTGACAATAAGGTATAAGAGAGCAAGCATTTTAAAGGCTTGTAACTTAGATTCTTTCAAGACATTAAAATCTGTGTATGGCAAGGTAATTATTCTTTCTAAGAAGGGATGTGAATTCATAACTCAACTGTACATTATAATGGTTTTTATTGCACTGAAAACTAATATTTAATTTCCAGGTACAAAGATGAAAGTGATTATGCCTTACGTTACATGGAGAGCAGCTGGAGAGAGCAACAGAAAGAAGAAGCTAGGAGGTATGCACGGATTTAAGCTCAGAAAGTGGGAAGATTGTTTATTGCCCAAGTCATGGGGCTAAGTTAGAGTGGGTATTTGCTGCTTTTTATAGCAGAGGTAAATAAGCCTTACCAATTTTTATAAGAAAGCTTAGGTAAAGATGAAACTCAGCCAGCCAGTGGTGGGTACAGTGAATAAATCCTGTATGCTCATTCTCATGCATCCCAAACTTTGCTTGTTTAAAACAAACAAACAACAACAAAAAAACCCCACACCCAACTTTTGCCCAAAAATCTTTTAAAAAATACTTTACATTTCAGTTGAAAAGCTAAACCCTTCAATTTGTCCCAAACATTACAATATTCTGCTAGTTTGAGGACTGGAAGAAGATTTATTTGGGTTTATCTATATACATGTGTTTGTGTGTGTATATTTCTATGTATGTATAAAAAGTACTTTGACAAACTTTTGAAATTGCTGAATTCAAATATGAAGATTATATCTTCATATTCGTTTTGACCATTGGTTTTGGCCTTTAGAGCTGCACAATTCTTAGGTTGCTATTATAAAATCTGGTGTTCATAAACTCATTTTCTTTTTGGTTTCTAATGGCTGGTGGACCAAGCTTTGTGAAAGTTATAAGAGGTTTTTATAGATAATGGAAAATATTGGAATATACTGAGTTACCAAATTTTCTTGTTCTACTGAAATGTTTATATTGTTATTCAGAAGGTGCCTTGAGCACTGGAAACTTGCACCTTTTTTAAGTTAGTTGGTGTCCTTATTCCTCCTTGCTCCTGAGGAATAGCTGCAGCTTGTGCAAAGCTATAGTCTGTTAAATGGAGTTAGAGGAAACAACTGGAATTTTACAGTGATATTGCTGTTGACTGAATTCTCTTTTGAAGACCTAGAGTGAGGTTTTGCAGAGTTGAATACCTGGCTAACTTTTAACTGCACATGCAGCATAAAGGAAGGGGAGATAAACTTGAGTAAAATTGAGTTTAACTATTTCAATGCTCAGCTACTTTTCACTGAGAGTTTGATTAAAAGCATTGTGACTCTTGAAATGAGGAACTTTTTCTAACCAAGCAAGCCCACTAAAATTATAGTTAAGTTCTGAGTTGAAATGAAAACTGATGTTTCAAGCCAGAGTTTTATCACATAGATCCTGTTTGTTTCTATTCTTAATTTGGATGACTGCAGTTTCCTGAATTCAGGATGACTTTGCTATGCTTGTTTAGTCATAAAATCCATTTTAGAGCCTGTACTGGAGCAGTTTAGCCCAGAACAGTCAAATCCTCATTGTTGTGTGGTTGAACTTTTTGCATTGAGCTGCATGCTACACTGCCTTATGTTGCTTCATAATGAGCTATGGATGTACAAATGCACTTGGTAGGGCTGCAAATGAGGCAGTAGCTGATCACAAAATGGTAACTTTGCTATGCACCCATTCCTAGTATCAAACCAGCAAGACTATCCTGCCCTTATTTATTGAAGAGGAGATCAGTGATTGCAGATACTGTTTTAAGTATGACTTTCAACGTACTGACTTCTAGGAAGCTGAAGAAATCATGCAGGGATGTAGCTAGAACACACCGTATTAGCAGAGTCTTTTCCATGGGCCTGTTCACCAGAGTCATGGCAGCTAGATGGACTGAGGGTGGAGCAATGTTGTGCTTGTAGCTACCTGAATGGTGCCTCAAGCCAGGAAGTTGCGACAACATCTTTGCTGCTCTACTGTTAGGCATATCCATTCTCTTCCTTGCTAATGTAAAAGGTTTAGGTGGCTCTCAGAAGCTGGTGAGAGTCAGTCATGCTATGACTTGTATGTAGGAGTTACATTGGCAAGAATTGAAGAATGTGTTTCAGCAGCTGCTTTTCAGAAAAAAAGACTTTTCATATTAAAATCAGTTTTTTTCACAATCTTGATTTTTTTAACAAAAGTTTTAAAGAATTTTCCCTCAAAATATTTGATTCTAATCTAATGATAAAATCTTGATTTCTTTTCTTAAAGCTGTATTCTTGCTATAATTAAAGAAAATTTATGACTGTTGAACTGATCTAAAATTTTTGCTAAATCAGCTGTAACAATTTTAGAATTGCTTTTCTTGGGGGAGGGGTAGAAGTCAAATTTCATGTTTTTGAGTAGTAGTGTATAAAGGATTTCATCTTTTTTGGCAGCTTGAGACTTGGTGTTCAGGAGGACTTAGAAGAATTGAGACGGGAAGAAGAAGAATTAAAACGCAAGAGACAGTCTAAGAAGCTGAGGACACGTTAACTGACTTATGGTGTTGACTTTGTTCATGTTTCTGCTACCCTTTGCCTCCATACATCTCTTATTCTACTTCAGTTTCCATTTGCTTGTTAGAGGGCAAAAGAATATTTAAAGGGATTAAAGTACTGAAAAGCAAGGCTTTAGTTTGACCTAAATAAGATATTTATTTTTAATACTTGCCAGGGTTGGTTTTTTATGAAGAAGTTAATGCACTAATGCATATTAAGTGGAATAAAATTAATAGATGTTTCCATTGATTATACCAGTTCAAGATGCCAGCAGAAATACTGACTAGCTATGCACTGACTCAGAACTGTGTGGGCCCATATACCAGTAAACCAATTTTGCATTCACTTGAAAGAAAGGAATAGCATTCTTGTTCCCTGATATTTCTTGAGACTTAGAGAAATTGCTTTATATCCTACTCTATCTCCCAACTTGAGCCTCAAAGTATTGAAATGTCATCTTCTGTACAGAAGCAGCTTGGGTGTAAATTCAGCCGTTGCCACAGGTGTTCAAAGCAATAAAGTGCTGCATATTTTCTGATTTGAGGACCCATAAAAATAATTTGAACCTCCTTATTTCTAAACAGAAAAGTGCATGTTATTTGAAAATTGTACAGTTACAGATATGGCCAAAAAAGTATGTTGGCTTTTGTTGTTTGTCAGGAATTCCAATGCCAATCTAATTCAGTATGATAAATACACACCCTGAAAACAGGAATTTCTAGTGTTTGTATATAACTTGTGCTTTTGGGCTCAAGCGTATGCTTGGGAATTCTTTTCCTGCCCTGTAAATCTTCACATTTGTTTAACAGCTTCTGCTGCTTTTACAAATTGTGTGTGGTGCACATGTTTTTTCTTGCATTAAACATCTGATGTGTTAAATGATTTAAAATGTGAAGCAGTCATTTATCTAATTAGGTTTACTATTTAGAAAGCACATCAGAACTAAGTTTTGTTAGAATGTGTTTGCAGCTTTTCAATATTAACAACTTCATGTTAACTAGTTAATACTTGTGATTAATTTCATCAAACCAAAAATCTAAAATGTTAAGTATAGCAGGAGAGTTAGTTCAGTTACTTACCTTAATGCCCATATTTGCACATTATTTCTAACTATGCACTTAAAGACTGTTTCTTTCAGTAACTGAATTTGTTTACAATCAGCACAGGGTTCATGTAAGTCTACAGGAGTTGTACTATGAGTCTGAAGCTCAAATCTGGTGTTGCATCTACTTTGATTTCCCCAGGTTGCCCTTCAAAGCTCACCAGTATCACTACTTGGCTTTGCCTTGAGCTCCAGGACTCCATTGATAGTACCTCTGGCTTCAGCTGCTGAGGCTGTTATGTTTTAATGCTGGAAGTACTTGGAAAAGTACAAAAAGGGCTTTATGTGTTGGGGGGGGGGGAGTAAAGGAATAAAATGGAAAAATTACCTTGTAGAGAAACAACTAAGGAACCTTTCCTATCAGGGGGATATTCTTAACAGTGCTGCTTCTAGGAAGCAGTTCAGATAGCAACCTGTAAGGAACAACCTTGGAAGCTGCTGAAGTTTAAACATCTGACTCTTAATGTAAGAAAAAACAGAATTGCCTTTTTAAGATGTTTTCTGTCAATGTTGTAGCATTTCACTGCCTCAGTAAAACACTGACATGAGTAAGCTATTGCAATAGATTCTATGAAGTAATTCAGTATTAGCTGACAGGGAGCCCAGATGAAGATGCCATCGTTGCTCCTCTGTATTTTTAATTTTCTATATTGACTAACAAAAAATGTTTCTCAGTGTATGCGCTTGAGACCATGCAAGATAGTGTAACCTCACTGCTTGTTTAGAAGTGTGTTGTATTCACTCTGCTTCATTGGGACCATCTAAAATTTTCTGTTGTAGTTCCTAGAATTGTCCATTCAAGACAATGAACACTGGGACCGTGATCAAGTTACTGGGTTTTTTTTACTTTTTAATTCTTTTTAGATGGAGAAAGGCTCTAGGTCTGTCAACTCAGACTACATCAGCTGTGAGCAACTTCCTGCCTGGTTGGGAAAAAAGTCTCTTATGAAGCGAAAGAAATATATTAATTCAAAATTGGTTCAGCTGGGAATTAAATCTGCATTTCAGATAAATATAGGTTAAATAAAACCCAATTATTTCACCACTTTATGATTATTTAACCATGCAAGATCAGTTAAATCTCTTGATCTGTAAAGCACTTTGTCCTTTGTCTTTTAGATGGTGACTGGAATGTACTCTGCTAGCCTCCCTAAGACTGTATAACTGTTTTTTCACACAGTGATCATTGCTTAAATTTTGTCTATTTCATATGAAAAATTATTCGAGGACACATTTGTAATTTTACAGTCAAGAAGTACTTTCTCATAATTGGCATGGGATGCTAATGTTTTTCAAATTTTGTACAAATGTTTGGGGTTTAATGTGTTTGCATCTGCTTCATATTTGTAAATTGGCTAGGAAGGAACTGGATTTTTGGTTTTTAATTCCTGACCTTGTATCCAAAACCACACTTACTCTTTGCCAGCTTAATAGTATTAATCTAACGTGAGTACTTCAGTACTTGTCCAAAGTGCATCTGAATTTGAGGTTAAGAAAAACTGGAAGAATGCTTATATTGGTTTATGAGGATCTGATGTTAAGCTAACAATTGTATTTAATGAAATTCTGGTTTGGTTTTTAGATTTTTAATTCACTGTTTGACAATGTGCCTTTTTTACTAAATTGTGTCAAAAAATAATGAATGTAGGAGTATAAAAAGGTTGGTTGGTTTCTGCTATCTCAGATTCTATATCCTTAAACTTGATAGTGTGAAATGACATACTTTTCATAAAACCCTTCCAGGTCTGGCTTTGATTGCACAACTACAGTAGCTACTTCTTTACTGCTAATGCTAAATCAAATGAAGGGCACTTTCTATTGATGACTACTTTTTGAAAATGTCTTGTATTTACACTTGAGCTGTATTTCACTTTACAGTGATGTCTTTTGGGGGCCAGGGTTTCGCATATCACAGGAAGCCTTAGTGTGCAACTCTGTGCTGTGCTTTAAAATAAAAATCTTTCAAGAAGTATATGAGATCTCTATGGAAATCTGGATTTATTTTTGTGTAAAGTCCAAAATATTGTCCAGGAAGACTAATTTTCTATTTTTTTTGCATTTTGTAACATAATCTAGTAGCTGATGCATATTTCTAGATATAGCATATTTCTGGAGACCAAAACATGTCAGAAAATAAATATATGGAGAGACTGGTGTTTAAATTGTGATGAATGTACTTCTATTTATTTTGGTGAGTGGGTGTGATGCAATATTAAAGTGTTAGTGTGTAAATAAGGGTGCTTCTAGTTTTAGCCAATGATTTTTTTTCTTTGGGGATAACATTTGTGCACAATGTCTTTTTACACAATGTGACAAATCAGGTTAAAAACTCATACATAGCTTAACTGTTTTCTGGTGCTGTCAAGGAAGTGTATACTTTTGCACACACCAAATGCATATAAGTTTTGCAGAGTATGTATACAATAAATTACAGGCATTAAACATTCTACTGCTATTTCTCATTGGTTTACTTTATGGAAGATTTTTCAGAATTCTCTTCTGCTGGTTTCGTCTGAGCTGTCACATACAATAGCATTAGGCTGAATGTTCTCCAAGAATAGTTCTCTTGTTCTCGTGCTGCCAGCAAGAATGTATGAAAAATTAATGGAGTCACTTAAGCATTCAGAAAAGGTCTGATAGTTGTGGGCATCTCCCGCTTGTGACATAATATATATATTTGGAGGTACATGTACTTTAGAACGATAATATACACAAGTGTGCCAGTTGCCTTTAATCTCTTCTATCTGGAGTGTGGTGTTTCATCCTGCAGTTTCATAAGTAGCATCTTTCTCAGATTCTCCTATTCCAGTGTAAATAATCTGAACCTCCTCGATTGCTGTCTCCTATGGAACTATTTACTGCTTTGACAGGTGGAGGTAAATACCAGTGACTGTTCTGATCAGCTAGTGCTGTGACCCATTTCCAAATAGATAAATGAGTACACATCAAAGTAAGCCCATCTGTCTGTCTTTTGAAACAGCAATGCTTGCACACTCTTGTGCTTAAAAAAAAATATTTTTTTTAAATCATATTGCAAATTAGCATTTAATCAGTGTCCTATGAGTACCTTGTTTAGAAGGCATGAAAACTTACCTTGTTTGGAATTCCCTTGTATGGAATTCCCTTGATTTTTAATGTATCTTAATAGCTGTAAGCAGTCATTATTTCAAAGCAAATATATTCTGTTCAGGTGGAGAGTGATTCTACATTGAATTATTATCTTAATCCAGCCAGTAAAGCTGTACTTCTCTGGAAGCAATAGAATTATTTTACTCAGGTTCGGAAAAAAAATAATTCCAGATTTCCCTCATTTGAAGGCAAATTTTAGTTGAAATTTATTTGAAATAACATTTTAGTTCCACAAGACAGAACTTGCAGTATAGTCATCCCATAGATAGCCTTTTCTTACCACTTCAAATGCATATGGAAACATTTATTTATTTTTTCCATGAGCCTAGGGATCCCAAAAGCCTTTGACATCATGCTTAACATACTTTGTGGGATGAAATGAGTGACAGAAGAGGTTCCTGAAGTAATGAAACATGTCACCAGTTTAGTCCTAACATCTCTGCCCACAAGTGATGAATGGCTTTGTTTTCCCAAACTGTCTGGTACTTAATTTGCTTTGGGGATTTCTCTGTTCAGTTCTTCATGGGAGTCTTAATTTTTACCTATATCCTTTTCCCTGCACTGGCAAATTCATAAATTTCTTTGTGTGCTGGATGCAACTTCTGTGCAGTTTCTCAATGTTCCTTGGTTGAGGAAAGACAAAGTGTCTGATGCCATCTCCTATCATTATTATGTGTGTGAAAGTTGATAGCAATTGACAATTTAAAGAGAATCAAGAGCTTCAGTGGGTTTTTATCTTGTTAAAGGAATGGTCTTGATTCTGACTTGAAAAACACTTGAGTGTAGAGTTCCAGGCTTTATTAGTGCACTTGGAATAACTGTGAGAGCATACTTATGCACACACTGAGTGTAAAAGGATGTTTTTAAGTGCCTTACATGTACTTCTCGATGTATTTAACCTCTTTTGTGGACTTCTTCATGAGAGGTAACTAGCTTCCTTGAATGACACAAGTAAGGATATATGATGTTTGTTATGGGTCTGTCCTCAACTCCCTATCACAATAATTCTCCTCCCCGCCAGCTTCTTCCAGCTGTTGCATTGCACGAATACTTTGTGGTCTCTCAACACATCCAGTAAGTAATGAGATTTGCCTAGACAAAGAAGTGGTATATATGTTAGAGTGCTACACCTGTTGATTGACCTGCTGCTCTGCAATTGATAAAGGACTCTGCTTATCATTATTTTTGCACAGGAGGGGCACTAATGTGAGTCAATCCACTTTATCTGGTTCCTGATTTCTATAGAATGTGCAGGAAGTCTGTTTTTGAGACCTTTGCAGCAGTGTCAGTTGTGACTGTAAATGATGCGTAGACAGGCAGCCCGGTCACATAAGGTGAATCTTCAGAGTTCATGCAGAGTGATGCGCTGTTGTTAACAACCCTCTTCCCCAGCCAAAATGAGTGAACCAGCAAACCGTTTATTAACCTGGTTTCTGTTTGCTAGCTGCCTGTACTCAGGGAAGGTGGTGGTGGCAGCGTATAGCGTGTGATATGGGCCAGGGCTATGGGGAGCCCTGTTTATGAGGAGTGTGAGAGATGCTGAAACTTGCAGGAAAAATTAATTTATGGAAGACTATTTGCTGCCACATGCAGTTGGCATGGAGGCCTCAGGTACCTCAAAACTGGTTGGATGGTGCTTTTAAACTGAAAGTTATGACGTATAAAATGGTTGCAGTGTAGTTCACACACACAGGTGACTTACTGGTTTAGAACAAAGGTGAACACTGAGATAAATAACGCTCTTGCTTGTGATATTTCCAGAGCTGAAGCCAGTTTGGGTTTTGTGAGGAAACTTGGTCCTGCCACTTGTGTTGCAGTTGGTCTTCACTTATTCCCCGAACTTCAGTATCTGGGATGATCACTTGACTGTATTTCAGAACTGCAGATTTTGTCCATAGGGTTTAATATTTATAAGTTCAACTTGTAATTTCCATTCCATTACTCTTAATTTGGACAAGTCATAGTATTGCATGATTTTCTCCACTGGAGAAAACTCTTTGAAATGCTTCCTGAATTGTAGTTTCACGTTATTGAGAACCCTTTCCCTTGGCTTTGTTCTAAGCTAGCATACTTAAAAATACAGGATGCCCCCAGGTAAGCAGAGGAATGAGACTAGTATTTGGAGTAGTATGAAAGTTTAAGACAGTAAAAATGATGCTGTTTTCCTTTTGTGTGGAGCTGAATAAAATTCAAAAGCCACATGCTGTGGAACTAGCTCTGTGTTCCACAAGACTGTCATTTTATTTTGACCCCTCCCTTAGCATCTGAGAAACTGCAGCCTATTTTCTGTATAATTAACCACCTTAACTTTTCTACCAAGTCTCAAAGAAAACATCTCAGTCAGTAAGAGGACCTGTACTGCTGGCAAAGTGCTATGTTTTTTAATACATAGGGTGATATTTTATGGAGAAAGGAGTTGCAATGCATCCAACTCTCACTTTATTACTTGATAAATGCCAGTTTGGGGAATTTTTTGTAGCTTGTTTGGTAGGAATATATGCAGAATGCCATGGCCTCATTTGGAAGAGCATGGCATTACCAGTTGCGCTGGCTTTACCAGTTTATTTGTGCTGAAAGTTGATATCATTTGAAAGCTTTTCTAGAGCAGACAGTGTTTGGTAATATATGACTTGATCCTGAAAGCTAGGTTTTGTATTTTTATCTCTAGAAATCATATAAACCAAATTGACACCAAATCAAAGAGTTGTTAGTCAAAACTCTGGCCAATAGATAACCAAATAGAATAAAAGAATGAACCTTTCTGTAACATTAAAATTTACTATGTCCAGTAAAGGAAGCCTCATTACTGCTTCACAACCATCCACAGATGGTGTAAGGCAAGGTGTGTTTATCTTCAAGACTGCATTTAACAGAACACCCTCGTTGCTCATGGAGCTATGGTATCTCTCCATTTGGCCGTGTTCAACTTCAGCACTACCCTGAGTGCTTCTGGCCTGCCTTGTACTACTTTGGCTGATTGAAGCAAGTGTGTAAACATACACAGATGAAGTAAATAACCAGCAGAAAATATCTTCAGAAATTACAACTGTACTGCTGGCTTCCTTCTTGCTAGTGCTTGGGAGGTGCTGGGCTCAGGAGGTTAAGAGCCAGCTTCAGAAACTGAAATATAGAAGGGAACTTCAGTAACAAAAGGTAGAGATCAAGTGATGGGGGGGGAGAGGAACTACTGGAGGAGCAGTACAGGGTGGTATGTGGGGTAGCAAGGCTGTGTTCTGTGCAGGCAGAATGTTAGCCTACTGGCAAGGTATTTCATTATCTAGAAATTAGTTGGCATTAGGATCTGTTAATACGGAGTTATTCATTGCAGATGACGTTTAGAGCAGATTTTGAGTCAGAGGCCACAGACACCACCTGAATTTAAAGGACAGTTGAACAGTGAGTACCAAGAAATTTGGATCAGTAGTTTGGGTGCACGCTTAGTCAATGGTGACCTCCAAGGCTCGCACAGAAGCAGTATTACCACTCTTACTCTTGAGATGATAGTGCTGTGTTGCTACTAAGGCTATGTTGTTACTGTTCTGGTTTCTATGATTATTTTGGTTATGTATGCACAAAGATTTTTTTTCTAAGTGTTTCCAAACATCTAACCTACTAACAACCGTAAATATCTATCAGCCTTTCCTAGTTGTTTTTTACTGTGAAACAGGGAGAAATTTAAAATTTAAATGCTTGAGATTAAAAATTTAAAAGGAATGCTGTATTCTCAAACATTAGTCTATGCTAGGACCTTTGTGAAACAAAATTATTTTCAAATTGTCTATTAAAAGGGTTTAGATAAATGTTCATGAAGATCATTCTGTAACAGCCCATCATAGGGTTCACTATGTTTCCACCCTCCAAAAAAGCATGTAGCCACAGAGTCTGTAGGAGACTGGGGTGAAGGCAGCTGCCATTGCATGTGTCCCAGACCATAGCTCTTGGGGTCCCAGTAATGCTTTAATTTCCTGTTTCTCTTACCACAGAAACCAGTTTGCCCAGAATACTTGCCCCTGTTCACAGAGGGTCTCTACCACAGAGCCCACCATCCCAGAGAATGCAGTGTGCAAGGTTATACTGGTGACAGTCCCCAAGAAAAACTTCCTTTCTCCCCTCTTCAGGGCAGGGGCTTCTCTGGGTTGGGGACACAGCACCTAGGACACTGTCAGCCTCGCATGTACGGTGCAGGGTAGGGCCAGGGGCTTGGAGGTGATGTGCCAGGTTGCTGCTGCTCTTTCACGTATCCTGCCCTGCAAACACCCTCCTGGAGGTCAGCAGCTTTCGC